TTTTGGGCGCGGCTTACGTCTAAACCCATCGTAAGCGGGGACACCAGCGATTCATATGTAGATCCCGTCCAAGCGCAACGCTGGTTGCGGCCTGAAGCCTGCGCCGTCTTTGGGGCGAGGCACATGCCTTTGGCGATGTCCTCGCCATCCGTGTGTGAATTTCCCAGGCGCGGCGAAGGCCAGGCAGACTTCGCATTGGTGTTCACCCTTTTGTCGGAAGACACGACGCGCTCCGCAGACTAGTGAGCTGCGCACCTGTGCAGCAAGAACAGGAGGAGGGCGCCCGCGCAGGGAAGCAACGGGAAGGGGGGGGGACACTCGCTCAGAACATGAAATTATTCGCGTGCGGTCCTGGCGGCCTCAGGCTCCACCAGGGAGTCGTGCACAAGGGGCTACACATGAGCTGATTGGGGAAGTCGGAGCCGAGGAACTCCAGAAAGGCAATGGCGTTCACATGCAAAAGCTCGTTCAGGAGTTTGGCTGTGACCGCCGCCCTGCCGTCCACAACTGGGCAGGCGTGGCCACACGCCGTGTCCGCTCCGCGTGGGAGCCGGCGCCACCCACCGGCCAGATGAGCCGCAGGTGCTCAACTGCTGGGCGGTGTCCAGGTTGGTTTCAGAGCGCGTCAAGAGGATGGGAGGAGGAGGGTGACGGGGTCCGCCGGCCCGCTCCAGCGGTACAGTTTGGCGCGGCTCGTACTGCCGCTCCACCACCTGCGTACTCCTGCTCATACTCCCTCCTCTCCTCTCCTGCTCCTGCTCATGCTCCTCCTCCTCCTCTTCTTCCTCCATTCCTTCTCCTTCTAAATAACCTCTCCCTGTCGCGCCCCGAGGCCAGTTTTTAGGGCGGGCCGGGCGTTTCGCCTGAGACTTCCTCACCTATGACTCTGAAGCTGAAAAACTGACAACAGCTTCACAGATGGAGGGAGGGGGGTTTTCAAAATGTGGCTCTCGCCGTAGTGCCGCGCACACTCGTTTTAAACATGTGCAAGTGCTTCACAGATTGAGGGCGAGTCAATTTCAAGATGTGGCTCTCGCCTTAGCGCCGCGCACACTCGTCTTAAGAATTTGCAAGAGTACCAGGGGGTCCATGATCAGCGTAGCAGAAATGGCGTGTTGGAAGGATTCAGGATCACGAACGCGCAACAATTACGTTGATTCGCTGTGTTGAAGTCTCAGTAATGGTGTTCTGGCACGGTTCAAGACCGTCGGGACGCAACAGCCAGGTTGACCCGTGACGTTGGAATCTCGAGAACATTGTTCTGGCATGCTTCAGGGTCTTCAAACGGTTGTCTTCCAACGAGACAGCTCCCTCAGTGGAAATGAACCATTGTAGAGGCCTATGACGAGGGAGTTTGGAGGGAGGGTTTATTCCAACATCATTGATGATTCTTGGGTTTCCACTGGCCCTTCTCCTCCTCCTCCTCCTCCTCCTCCTCCTCCTCTCATCCTCCTCCTTCTCCTCCTCCGCCTCTTCCTCCTTCCCCTCCTGGGATCTCTTGGGGCCCACCCTGGGACTCTCGGGGGGCTCTGCTGTGGCCATCTTAGACTCGGTGCCCAAAAGTGCGGCCAGTCTGGGCCCCTTCAGCCTGAAGGAGTCTTTCCGGTGTCGCCTTGGTGGGGCCCACTGGGGCCTCCTCTCAACATCGGCCCCCGAGGCTCTCTTGCGACGGCTTTCGACCAAAATTCGAGTCGGACCAAGCCGTGACGACGAGGGGCCTCCCTCGAGAGCCAAAAAGAGCAGAAGGAAGTGGTTGTGGAAAGTGCGCTCCTCCTCGCCACTCCCCTGCCCACCTCCCAGCGCCCCAAATCTGTTTACGCAGTCGGGGGCTAGGTGACCCCGTGCTCTCTTGCGGGTCGCCCCCGCTCGGCTCCTTGATCATTCGTATTGACTTCGGGCTCCCAGGACCCACCCAGCTTATCTTCGGAGCATGCCTCGCGCAGAGCCCCGGGCTCCCTACCAGCCCGCCGAATATTGCACTATTCCGGTTTCCCCCATACACACGCTGCGACGTCAAGATCGGGCGACGTTTCTGGCAGCCCACTCCTGCGTCTGCTCCTGGAGGACCTCGGCATCCACGAAGCCCTCGTTTGCGCCCCTGAGGGAGGACGGAGGGAAGGAGGAGGGTGGAGGGAGCGAGTAAGGAGAAGGGAGCGAGGAGGGAGGGAGGAGGGAACGAGTAAGGAGGAGGGAACGAGGAAGGAGGGAGGAAGGAGCGAGTGAGGAGGGAGGGAGGAGGGAACGCCTCCACGGCAGCTGCGGACCTATAGATCCCTTGCAGCTGGCCCAGCTAGGCCCCCAACACTGTCTCCTGTAGGTTAGAGCCAACTTGCCTCTAAATTGAATTAGCCACACAGTTTCACGAATCTTGCAGTTGAGGGTTAGCCCTGTGGTCGCAAAAACCTGGGCGATGAGAGTCGTGAGCATGGTAGGGTGGGCGCAGGCCGCTAATCCCAGGGGAGGAAGGGAATGCGGGAGGAGGGATGTCGGGGGGCGGAGGGACGAGGAAACAGGCAGCATGGCGGAGGGAGGGGACGGAGGACGGAGGAGGGATGTGACAGAGGACGGAGGAAAGAGGAGTGACAGGATCGAAGTCGGAGTGGGGTCACACATCTCTTGGTTCCCTAGTAGGCTAACGTTGTTGCGCACTACGTGGAGCAAATGCACTATATGCACAACATGTGATGGAACTAATCAGTGACGCGAACGCGTACAGATGCGATGGAACAATGACAAGAATAACTGCCAGGTCGTCGCATATCCAATCGGCTGCACTTGCAAGGCGACGCTCGGCCATACATTCGCTGTATCACTGGACCAACAACATCGCCAACAAACCCATCACAGTAAACTGAAGACAATAACTGGCACACCCTTTGGTTTCATGTTAAAACGCACCTCAAAATTGTAACATGGTGCGTAATTTTCTCCAGGTAGGCTTGTCCATACGGCTCTTGCTGTGCACTCGCTACCCTGCGTGAGTCTGGGTCTGACCTGTTTGCGCACATGGTGACTACAATATGCAGCACGAGTGATCTGTTAGCAAGTGCTTCGTACAGGGCGGTCGAACTACACCCACGAAGAAGTTCTGAGCCACAGGGTGCAATCCTGTCGCGGGTTCACCATATCGCGCTTCCAGAGCTCAGCTGCATGAAGCGGGTATGAGCCACGGTGAAGGCATTGGGCAACGAACCCTTGGATATGGAATCCAAGGCATGAGGGCTGGTAAATCACCTATCGAGGCTCCGCCGTGGATATAACACATAACCACCACCCTGATCAGATCCCGAATCCCTCGGGATCTAAAGCGTCTGAAGCCTCCGAATTTTTTCTTGACAAACACGCTCGGACGACATGCGCAGCCGCAGGCGCGCGCCCGGGGCGGCGCCCAGCTTTGGCAGCTGCGCCATGCGGCGCGCAGCTACAGCAGCGACTTCTGCTGCGTTGCCCCCAACGCAGCGCAATTTGCCGAGGAGCAGAAGCGCCTGCCCAAAACGAACGTCCACCCCCTGCTTGATGACACCCTATCGGCCAAACGCGGCGCCCCTCGGTGGCACTGCCAGACGTGCGCTCCCGGGAACGATCCTCTGGTGCGGGATGCGGCCCTGCCGCTCCCGGCCGCGCTCGCGCCACCAGGCACCCGCTCCCCAGGGCGAACAACCGCTTGGGGGAACTGTCTCGGCCAGTCGCCAGGGCGCAGTGCCAGAAATCACCGGGCGCGATCGTGAACCGTAGGGTGGAGGCCCTGCCGGCTTGACGAGTGCATGTGACTGGACGGTTTGGGAACCCTGGGTGCCTCGGCCGCTCGGGACACCCAGACCTCCGACGCCGTACATGTTCCAATGCGTCCCCAGGGTGATGTTGCTCCCAACGTACTTAAGGACCACATGCCAGACATACCTTCGAGCACCCAGAAAAGTGGCGACAGAGTTTCGAAACAGTGTCGAAACAATGTCGGACGAGTGTCTCCCAAGGGCCCGACGCGTGAAAACCCTCGAGTTTCGGTACAAGGCTAAAACTTGTTGATCCGCGGGTCGAGAGCGCACCTCTTCCGGTCGAAGCTAAGCGGGCCGCGCACAGCTTTAATTGACAGAGGGGGGAAGGCAGAATGAGGAGCCTCACGTCAAGGCCAAGAGAGGGCAAAGCCCCGGAATCAGGCGGTGCCGAAGACGATGTGCTTGCAAACAACACACACAACAACACAAGGCTAAAACAGGTCGGAATATCATAGCCCCAGGGCTCTCGACCCCTCCCCTGGAGGCCGCCGCTGTGCTCGGGAACTTCACCTTGTGGGGCCCACGGACAGATCGGACCGCGGAGGCCGACCATGGCGCAACAGCTCCGTCACGAGCTGCTCGATAGGCTGGAGGTCCCTGGCCACCTTTTACTCATTCGGCGGTGTGGTCACCGAGCCTAGGAGGAGGAGGAGGAGGAGGAGAAGGAGGAGGAGGATGAGAAGGAGAAGAAGCGAAGCGAAGCGAACGCCGGAGTCGTGCGCGCTCCTCCGGGGAGCCCGGCCGTGCCCATTAGGGCATGGCGTGGAGGCCGTGGCCTCGACAAGGAAGATCACCAAAATATTACGTATGCCGGCTGGCAAGATGTCCATCACTCTGTGCAGCAAGCGGCCCGGATCTATCGTAGGTCGTTTGTGTTGTTATTCTCGTATTGTCATGGTTGGGTGGCTGCGCTGTTCTGTTCCTCTACGGCCTCGCGATCCAGACTGTGCAGGAAGCTGCGGATATCGTCGTCCCACCGCTTTGGCTGTCCCCCATGCTGCCGTCGTCCACGCTCGCATGTATTGAGATTCGGGTTCCATTCGAGCACCCTCCGGGTCCAGCGCGTCTTGGGATGGTGAGACACCGTATTCGCCCATCGCCATACCATTCTACGATGTATATACAATACGTCTGGTATATCGTGCATGATCATGAGTGATTCCGCCCTCCGTGTGCTTCTGCGGATGAAGTCGGACCACAGCTCCAGGTCGTCATCCCCCCTGCTGCTAGGCTGCGTGTCCTCGTCGTCGTTGCCTGCGTCTTGCAGATTGAGTGGGTTGGGAAGGTCGCTGCGTACGTCGGAGTCGGTGGAACCGTTGGAATCGTTGGAGTCGCGTGGATTTGTGGATCCCGTACTGTGGTGGTGGGTGTTGTTTTTGTCTGCTGCTGGGTCGTGGTGCGGTGTCGGTGCAGCTGTGCGTCTCCGCGGTGTCCGATGATTATTATGATCATGCGTCGTTGCGTTCGTCGTCGCTGCTGCTTGAGGGGCTCTGTCCGAGTCCAGGTTTCTGCGCCGTACGTCATAGTAGGGATGACTGTACCCTTGTAAAATCGCAATCGATGTCTCAATGGGTAGTGTTTGCTGGTGAATTCTTGTCGGTGGCCGCTAAAACACGCCCGCGCAGCTTGAATCTGGTGCTTGACTTCGGTCGCGGTGGCGTCGTGGACGCTGATCGTCTGGCCTAAATACTTGATTGTGCTGGTGCGTGGTAGGATTTCGCTGTCCATCCCTGTTGCTGTAGCCGTCCGGTCGCGGTTGCGTAGCTGGTTAGTCATGATTTTGGTTTTGGTTGGGTGTAGCTCCAACCCATGTGGCTTGGCAGATGCGATCAAGTCGGAAAGCAGTCTTTTCAAATTGTGTAGTGTTTGGCTGGTCAACAATATGTCGTCGGCGAACCGGAGGTTCGTGAGTGTCGAATCGTCGGTGTGGCCCAATTGAACGCCCCGGCGTTTTCTCTGCCAGTCTGGGACCAGCGGTGCTAGAATATGTTGAAGCAGGGCGTTGAAACGTAATGAGCTCAGCGGATCTCCTTGTTTTGTGCCGCGACGGAGGAGGAGGAGGAGAAGGAGGAGAAGGAGGAGGAGGAGCAAAACCCTATATTGTGGGGGTCCACGGCTGTCGTGTTGCAGGACCCTAAACTGTTCCCGGGGCTGGCCTCCCTGGCGCTTTCCGGAAACAACAAAAAAAAAGGGGGAGGGGGAGGGGTAAAGTTGACATCGCGGCTCGAGCCGAAGAAGTGAAACGCGCCTTACGCGTGAGGGCACGGACCTTACGCGATGGCGTACGCAGGCCGCCAGCGCGGGCAACCACGTCGAGAAAAGGGCGCTTACGCCGCGCCACATTACGCAGACAGCTTTCGTTTGAAAATCCACGCAGGGGGTGAAACCCGAGGCGGGCATCCAAAATCGCCCAGACGAGCCCAGATTGGCCCAGCATTCCCTCCAGGAGAGCCCCAAGACGGCCCCGAGATGGCATCAAAGTGGCTCTAGAACACCTCATGCAAGCGCCTAATATGCCAGTGATGCTGCCCCTCTCGACTTCTCGCGACCTCAGATGCACCTCAGAGGCCGCAATATGGCTCAATATCGACCCAGAGGGCCAAAGACGGGCCTCACACAGCCCGGACTGGCCGTAAGCTCGCCCCAAAAGAATCTCAAGCGGGTCCCTAGAGGCCTCCAGCTGGACCCCAGAGAGCTCGAGAGGATCCCAACTGAGTCCCACGGCGTGGTCGACAAAAAGACCCCACAATTTATGTTGTGGCCACACTGCGCATTTTCCCCCCAGCAGAGCCGCACGGGGGTATGCACTCTTTCCCCGCCCGACGGCGCATAGATCCCCAGCAGGCCCCGAACTGGCTCCAGATCTTATCTAGAACGAGAAGATGGCAACGCCGCTCTCTGGAACCTGGGAGGGAGTAAGAGGCAGAAGGATAGGAGGGAGGGAGGAGTAAGGAGGGAACCCCGATCTCCAATATCGCATTGAGTCAAAGTGTACAACGTGCGGGCCACAGGGCTGTCGACAACAACCCTGGAACTGCTGTCGGTACCGCGGGTAGTTCTTGATGGGCTACTCAAAACAAATCAAGTCCATACACGTGTTTCATAATCGAAGTGTATGGGTTGTCGCCGAGGCAGAGGACTTCGCCAATAGTCACGCTTGCGTTTGCTTTGACATTTCTTCCTGGACTGTTTGGCTACTTCATAGGCGTTACACAAGCGCTCAGAAAGAACAAGTGGCTCGGCATCCTCCGACAGCACCGCGCGCCTGGGGTCTCTCAGGATGCGCATCCTGCCTCCAGGGCGATTGGGCAGCACGCCAGGATGTGCATCCTGCACATCCAAACACCTGAAATAACGCCGTACTCAAATACCCGGACACATCCCAGACAATATCCCGACAAGTGCCTCGAGCTGCGTCAAACCAGGCGAGGGCGCTCCAGGACGCCAAAAAAAATACTAGACACATAGTCACATAAGAACCCTTCCGTACTCCCTCCCTTCCGGATGTCTGCAGAAGCCACAGGACGTCTCGAGAGTTCGGCCAAGAAGAACAACATCGATACTGCTCAACCTCCTCTTCCCCCACGTCCTGCTCGATCATCCAGCCGCCCGAAGGGAAACGGGCGCGGCTCCTGTACACGAACACGCGCTCCCCCTTCTGGTAGCGCCTCCTCAGACGCTTGGCCGGCATGTTCTTCAGTGTGGGCAGGTCGTCGTCATTCCCCTGGGGTGTGTGCATAGGGAACATGACTCGGAACTCGAGAGGACAGAGTTTGTTGCATCATGCGGTCTTTTCGAAAAGTCGACGCCCTCGGACTGTCCCTGGACCTCATGTTTGTTACAAATTGCCAAAAGGACGTGCCAAACTAACGCGCAGACAATCGCAATATGAATGGGACCAGCCATCACGAGTGATTGAAAACGGCTAGGTATCCTCAATGAAAGCTGTGTGGACAGCCGTGGCACTGCTGGCCCCCCCTTGGGCCCATGTGAGGCCGTCCCAAAAAACAAATGAGGCGGAAGTCGGGTGCGCCGAAGAGGGGGCCAGGAAGACGGGGGGCGCATCGTGGCCGAAGGCATCTGCCCAGACGACGGGGACCAGAGACGTGTCAAATGAAAAAGAAGAAGATGAAGAAGATGAAACGTGTGTCACTGAATCGGGAAGACGTCATAGCTTCGGTCATGGTCACCCCACCCACCCCTAGCCATCACTCTCCCCCTTCGGCGCCTCCAAGGAGGGCGAAAGGAAGAAGGACGACGACCAGGAGGGAGGCGGACGAACAAAACTGACCTGCGCAATGACCAAGCCGCAACACCTGGGAGAGGGTACTGGGCATGTATGGTATCAGATATTGCTGTCGGAAATATGACGGCACATCCTCGGTCGACTGTGAGCATCATTGAGCAAAGCGGGCCCATCGGGGGGAGAAGGAAATATCGTGGGGCACGCATTGAAAGCAAGTTTGTTTTCGTGCCCCTTGCGATTTGGATCTGCCTGGAACGCCAGCCCTCTGCAGCCCCGCTGGGCAAGCAACATAATGGCGACGGTCGCGCGCACGACAGCGCGCAAGGGATCACGATGCCTAATCGAGACCCACATGCGTAGGGCATTGTTCCGCTGGGCCTCCCAGCGATGCTCGTCGGGCAGTGCCCAGGAAGAGGGCGAGGTCTAGTTTGGATCTGCGCGTCACGCCAATCTGCTGGAGACCCCAGGGGCGCAGCAAAGCGGGGACGGTTGCGCCCCACGCAGCGCCCAGGAAGACGGCGAGGTCTAGAGTCTGATTGGGTCTGCGTGTGACGCCACCCCGCTTAATGAGAAAAGCAAGCCAACAACCTTCTAGCATAAACTCTCCAGTGCCATAAAGGGCGGCTACATATTGCCCGAATTTCCGTCGGTACGGGCAAGAATTCGCCAATTCGGACGGCCCTGTTCTGCAAGAAAGTTCGGCCAATTGCCCCAATGATTTTCAAAATCCTACCAGAATTGTCGTCGCTGGTGTACTGCCTTTTCCTGCCGTGTAGACGTTTTGCTCGGCTTTCCGCACAAATCCCTGGGTTGGCGTCCATGGCGGGGGGGGGAATAAAAGGGGGCTGGGTCGGCCGCGACTGAGATGGAAGGCAGCAGGTAGAGAGCGGGGAAGGGGGAGGGGCGACCACCGGCCATGTGGACGCGCATGTCCTCAAACCCCGCAGCACAACGGGAGGCGCCAACGCGACATCACTGTCTGCCTGCCACGAATAGTGAGCGCTTGGGCAGTCGAGACCGGGCCCCCTCGAATCACGTAAGAATTCACAACCGTTGGATCACGCATGGGCGCAGCCAAGTTTTCTCTGCTGCACCTCTGGGACCACCCAGGCAGGGCGAGGCCCAATTCGATCTGAGAGGGCACCACGCTGGGCCTTTGAAGCCCGCAAACAGGCGGCGACGCTGGCAGTAGCTGGGGAGTGCGAAGTCTAGTAGGGTCTGCGTATATCGCCACCCCGTCGGACTCCGCATGGGCGCAGCAATGCGGCGACTGTTGCGCAACTGGTAGCGAGGTCTACTGTAAGCACGCACGATAGGAGTCTGTAACAGGCAACGTCGAAGGCCACCCAATGAGGAATTTGCAAGCTAGAGGCATGCACAAATACAAGGCTCGAAACCCGACGCATTACAAAACGTGATCCCACATGGGTCCGTTGATGCCTCCCCCAAGAATGGACGAGAACTGGGTTCCCACTGACATCGGTTGCACACTTAGCCAGGCGCATGCTTGGCAAGACGCGATACACAAACAACTGCAACAGTTGGAAAAAACATACGATAATACATCGTGTTTCAAGAGATCTTGAAACACGCCCACCGTCTACATTCGATGGACCGATGATGCCCCACGACGTTTCCGGGTCCTTGAACCGCAGGAGGAGGATAATTTTTGACAGACAAATGTGGTAAGCCGGCTGAAAGGCCGATTTCAAATCTGATGCGCCTACTTTGATGAATTCCGCGTGAAACAACCGCTCCACTGACCCTCCTATGAAGGAAATGGCAAGAGTGCGCAATATTCAAAACGAGGAGGCAACTCAGACGAAACTCAGGGCAGCGATCGAGAACACCAAACATTGTCCTGGGGCCCGGGCTCCTCCCTCCTCCTCCTGCTCCACATTTCACTCCGTCCACCCGTCCTCCTCTTCCCTTGGCAGAGCGAACATGGTCCATACTCGCCACACTCTAGCACCGAACTTCTCCAGCGACGACGCGATTGTGCAGGCGACCGCGAGCAGCCCGGCCGCCGTCCAGAGCCCCCCGGCCAGCGGCCAGTCCGTCCGTCCTCCTCCTCCTCCTCCTCCTCCCTCCTCCTCCTCCTCCTCCTCCTCCCTCCTCCTCCTCCTCCTCCTCCTCCTCCTCCTCCTCCTCCTCCTCCCTCCTCCTCCTCCTCCTCCTCCTCCTCCTCCTCCTCCTCCTCCTCCTCCTCCTCCTCCTCCTCCTCCTCCTCCTCCTCCTCCCCCTCATCCCTCCTCCTTCCTGGCGTCCAGGCCGTGGCGTCGCGTCCAGCCCACTGCCAGACCCCAGGCGTGGTGACCGCCTCCGCCCGCGGTCCCCCGCGATCGCACGCCCCCGCCACGGCGGGAGCTCGCGATGGCTCGCTCCGCTGGCACCGTCGGCAGCGCAGGCAAAGTGCAGAGTCGCGTCGGCGGCCAAATCTGGAGGAAGCCAGAGCCCCAAGAGGCCCCCACGAGGCCCCCGAGCGGCCCCTAAGAGCCTCCCAAGAGGACCCCAAACTGCCCGTTTCCTCCTGGACTCTCCGCCTCAAAACCTCCGGCGGATCGGGCTCGCGTGGGCCTGCTGGCCCTGAGCCCTCAGGCCGCCTCCGACAAACCTCCTCCTCCTCCTCGCCTTCAAACCTCCTGAGAGAAGCACCCTTTTTCTCTCATGGCCTGGTGGCGCCCGCGGTACGGCCCGCGGGCGCGAGCTCTGCGGTCGGCGTTCCCTGCCGCCGCTGCACCCCCCATCGTACTCCTCCAGCGGCCCACAGCCGCAACGTCCGGTGCCACGGCACCTGCCCTCCTTCCTGCGCGCCGCGGGGCCCACCTCGAAGGCCCCCGCGCGCACTGGTGGGGGGACCTGGCCCGACACAACCCAGCACTCCTGGCGGTACCTCCGCCACGACAGATGCCCTCACGGCTGCACACCTGATGCCACAATGCCAGCCTCGAAGCTTCCCTGCGCTCTCAGCTCAGGCCTGATCGGCCCCCGCTGCCCACGCGCTCTGAACCTCAGACCAACGCGACGGCACAACCTCTTAGACCATCGTGATGCCAGTGGCCGCCATGCTGCTGGCAACCCCCTCTGCCATGCCGTGCGCCTCCCACAGGCATCCCTGGAAAGCGTCGCTGTTCCACCGGCCCCAGCGCTGCACCAAGGCGGTGTCCTTGAACGCCGCATAGAGCGCCGACGCTCCTCCGATCCTCAGACTGTGCGAGCCTAGGTCGTTCGGGCCCATGCCCTCCGCCACCGCCGACTGCATCACCACGCGCTGGACGTCGGCCCGCGTCACCAGGTGCATGTCGTCGAAGGCGAACAGGGGGTCGTGCATATGCGCGCCTGAGAACCTCTCATTGGCCCAGCCCGCGTAGATCTCGAGCGCCTCCACCACGCAGATGTGCTCAGCTCGATCTGCATCCTCAGCGACCAATGCGGAAGTGATTGCGCCACTCGCCCCGGTTGCACTGGTCGGTCTTGCTGGCCCGAATCTTGATGACAACCTCATTCGCCTCGCCCCACACGCGAGTTGGCTCGCCGTTCGCCTTCGGGGTGACGTCCGTTCCCCGAAGACCCTTGCCGCCGATATAGGCGTTCTGGTCGTTCGAAACGTACTCGCTGGCCCTCGAGAGGAAAAAGTAGCCCGTGGCCACTGCGGCCCACAGAGCCGCGCCCTCCCTCGACCTCTCCGGCTGCAGCTTCCGCCTAATCCACCTCATCATGCGGGGAGTGACCGGCTTCTTGCGCTTGGTGCCGCCGCCCCTCCTCCTGAGCCCGTCGATCGCCATCCAGAGCCTGCCCGCGCCCTCCGCGACGTCTCCCATGCCGAGCGCGAGGTGATGGGCCCGGACCGAGCTCAGGTACTGCTTGATGGTGCCCGCCTTCTTGCAGCCTCGGCGCGCCAGGTGGATGACGAACTCCAGCAACAGCTCCTCTTCATTCCTCGTACTCTCGGGCGTGATCTCGCGAAGCGGGCTGATTCCCCTCGCGCGGCAGAAGAGAGTCCACCACCTCCAGCCAATGCTGTACGACTTGATCGTGGAGCTGGCCAGCTTAATTATCGAGGATGAGCTCGAGTTTAGCTTTCTTCCAATCCTCGCGCGTCTTGAGGTCCGTCAAGGTAAGGCCCTCCGGGCGGGCGCTCGCTCGAACCGCATCCGGTCCGATGAGGTTGGGCGGCCTGTTCTCGCACGGGCCGCGAACCTTTTTGCTGCCCTTCTTGCTCCTGTGCGAGGTAGCCCCTGCTCTACGGGCGCGCTCCCCGCCCGCGCCCATGGCTGCCAGGGCCCAGTGGAGCCGCCCTCCCCTTTGCTCGGGGTAGCCCAACGTCCTCACCAGCGCCTCGAGCTCCTCCTCGGCCTGCGCCTGCTCGAGAAACCCGCTCCTACGGTCGTCTCCTCCACTGCTGCCCCGCCTGCGGTCCCCGCCTCGGTCGCGACGGCGACCCGAGCCCTGTGCGGCCCCGCGTACCATGGCTTCGA